TGTAATTTACACCCAAGCCTTTCTTACACGTACAAATTCATGGAGAATATGAAAGTTATAACACAAGCGATGTCTCATATAGAATGTGTTATTGGGTCATATATAATATAATTCATATGGGGTTTAACGTCCTACTGTTCTGCTCCGACTAGGCTAATGAAGACGGGCATGAGCCATACCGCGTGCTATGATGGAAATTTTGCCCGGGCAGCGGCACTATGGCCTACTCTTATATCGAATTCCAACTGCCAAAGAGATCTTTTACTTGCACGTCAATGTGTACACGTGGCCTCGGTTTTTCATACCATCCAAACGAATTGTCCTTGTCAGGCCTATTGAACTTTCTCGGCAAATGTAAGGATCGAAAATGCGACCTCCAGACAAGCGAGCCAGCGTTTTACCCAATTAGCCACCTTTGCTCCATAATTCATGGGATGCAGAATTATCTGTTACAGCTTTAAGACGACCTTTTTGATCGGACTCAATTATATAATTTACAAAATTTGACAGAGTAAATATACAGTTTTTTTGTATTCTTCAGATAGTGTAATGATCAGTCAGCCGAGCTGCAATGAAGCCGAGATAATAACAGCAGTTTCGGCTCATCTAAAATATGCACCCGACAGAAGAGGGACCAATTAGGTACATGTACAGTTTTAATTTGTTTATTACATGTCATATTTTATTATAATCTTTATAAGCCATTTTAAGTTCTTTTATCATCCATTTAATTTTATTTTATTTTCTATGTGTGATGTCCACAAAATGTTAACTGCGCCATTGAGCAGTGTTTTATATTGGTAACAGGCGCTTTATAAATAAATAAATTTTTATTATTATTACGGTACCAATTGCATTAAAATTACCTTCTCATTTTTAGCAATATCATTCATTACCATTACCCATTACATTGAAAGTAAATAATTACATTTTATTACTATTTAAAGATTAGAGCTAATTTAGCATTTAATCAATCAGATTTAAAGACAATAGTTTTACCATGTCTTTAAATCTGATTGATTAAATGCTAAATTAGCACTAATCTTTAAATAGTAATAAAATGTAATAACATTAAATATGTTTCCTTGTTATATGCTTTTAAAACTCTAGTTATCACTGAATGCATAAGAGTATGGTTGTAATATATGCCTGTAAATCCTCTGTTTGATCTTTTATGAATGTATATTTAGTTAATCATGTATAGATCTATGCCTTATTTTCTTTTAAACTGGTTTCAATTATATAGTATAATGTGTATGGTTTCAGTACAGCTCAACAATCCTCTGTTTGATCTTTTAATTGTATAATGAGTTAATCCTAGTATATACGATTATTTACCGTTGTTTCATCAATAGCTTGTGAAAGCTACTCATGTTCACCTTCCTTGCATACCATTGGATAGTTCGCACTGATGTTTATATATATATTCATATCTTTCTCATTTTATTTATTTGTATATATATGCCTGAAAACGACTTGAGAAATCTTGTTGAAACGTTGCAGTGAAATAAACCATAGTAATTGTTATTCCATAAAAGTGTGTTTTTTGATTATGTTCCAATTACTAAATGCCATTCAAAAATGCGCCATTAAATGTAATTGAAATGTAATTGACCATTACATGATTTTCGGAATGTAATTAATTACATTTCCATTACTCATTACTTTTGAAATCTTCCATTACTCATTACATGACCATTACTTAAAATTTAATGATCAGATTCTATTACCTTTACCCATTACTGCAAAGTTATATGACTCTAGCATTAATATTGTCTGTAATATAATCGTTTGAATTGAATGTTTTGAAACTATGTACTGTCCTATTAATTGATACTGATTTTATTCAGAAAGAAGCAATTAGATTGGTTGTGATGGGACACAATAACTTTGATTCTAATTGAGTGAGAGTGTTGAAACTTCGCGTATCGTTTCACTATGTCAAAACCGTGGCCCAAATCTGTCGGGCATTTACCCCCCCCCCCCCCTTCCCCGCACACACACCTAATTTAACTTCCATCCTGCCCGGCCGCCTATTCCCGTCTTCGTTAGTCCAGTAGGGGCAGAACTGTAGGGAGTTCGGATGGGGCTTATACTGGGTTTTATACAACCTCAAAACAACAAATTCTGACGTCGTGACAACTTTTCGCCAACCACCACACAACGTTGCAAAACAACAAATTTTGACGTCGTGACAACTTTTCGTCAACCACCACACAATGTTGTGACAATGCTGCTTGAACGTCCGTACAACGTTGTCACAACTTTTCGTCAACCACCACACAACGTTGTGACAATGTTGCTTTGACGTCCGTACAAAGTTGTCACAACTTTTCGTCAACCACCACACAACGTTGTGACAATGTTGCTTTGACGTCCGTACAACGTTGTCACAACTTTTCGTCAACCACCACACAACTTTTCGTCAACCACCACACAACGTTGTGACAATGTTGCTTTGACGTCCGTACAACGTTGTCACAACGTAAGAGTTTGTTGCAAAACAACCCACAGCTGACTTATTTCAGACGTTGTGATACAACCTCTGAAAAACGTTGTCACAACGTTCTGTGCCCGCTGGGTAATGATAGATCAGTTTAGTTTTACTTTAGCAATTGATATAGCCTGGACCAAGTAAGTACACAAGACTACTTATTAGCAGTCACTGTCTTGGTAGAATTCTTTCTCTTGATCAATAGAAATGAATATTATATTTGTCCCAAAATTTCTTAATCGGCGATACTGTCATCATATTTTACATTGAAACTGAATTTATGAAATGTCTAATTTAGACCTTTTTTTTTAGAGCCTTTTAAGTAAGTCAAAATAAACAAACAAGTGCGATTTTACAGTAAATAGCCGCAATCACACTGATCCGCAGTGAATATTCGCTTGGCCGCTACAATCACTGATAAGGATGACATCGATGCGACTTAATGACTACAAAATATTAACTTTTTTATTTCGACAAATTAAATTCTGAAACATTTTTTTTTAGTATTAAAAAAATAAATAAAGGTGTTTGAAGTATATCTTGATAAAAAATATTCCATAATTAGCGTAAATAGGTACAGAAAATAGTACGCGGAGGCGTAAAATGGGTAAAACGATATGATTCTGCCTGTAGCAGTTCATATTACTACGTTCGATGTAAACAACGCACGTGTGACCATCAATTTGACGTTTTTTTCTGTTTGTTTACTCTGAATTCTTTCAGAAGTACATTTTTTACCGTCTAATCTGATTGACCTGCTCGTGTTGGTTTACAAGCCACAGAAGTAATTTTTTTGGGCGTTATCGATGCCATCTTGCTTTGTTGGTAAACATTGTGATGTGACGTCACCCTTAGAACTACAGCGGTCTGACCATTTAAAGGTCAGTCATCTTGGACAGAGATAAAAGACGGATGTCGCATTAGGTCTGTAAAACAGATTGAGCCGCAATGTATGCCAATATCATTAATTAACCGTCCAAAGAAATATCCAAAGTCGAGCCTAAGGCAAATGAATCTTCACCGTCATCTGCACCTGACTGCACCTGACGGTGTTTTCTGCTATGTAATTTTCGTGATTTAGGTGGTGGTAGGAATCCATCAACAATACAAAACTTTTGAAACATAACTCAAAAGTGGTTGATGATCCTGAAGATTCACATACATAGCATTTTTTCAAAGAACAGATTTTTTATCCACAGACACACAATTGTGTCTGTAGCCACTGTAGGCACATTAAAATAGGCCCTGCTTTTTGACCCATTTTCATCAAGGTTCCCAATGTGCATGGGATAAAGAAAACGTCATCTCCAAAATTGCACGATATTAATGACCTAAATTTGAATACCGTACAGGAATTAAATATGAAGAATAGCGAGGTGCACCTATTGCACCTATTGTTGTAGTATTCAGAAGCAGATATGTTACATATATAACATAAAAATATATTGTAGTTGAAGTCTAAAGGGAATGGAAGCTTATTGACTCTATTTCAAAAAGCCGATAAACAACCTAATTCTGACTTCTATTACCTCCAACTAAAAATGTCTGATGAGCAAAATTTTGAAATAGCATCTCTGGTAGGGCATGTATTTTTTTCTTTAAAACTGTAATACCCGTTCCATCCTTAGAAATCGTTTCAATGACATATAATTTATTAATAATTGAAGTGGAGACACAATTCTATGGAAGATAATTATTGTTTATATAAATGAGTGCAACATTTCGACTTGGAATCTCTATTTTTATCATTAAAGACTAAAGACTCTTAGATGAAACATAGCTGAACAATAAACAGTATAGTAGGCCTTACCATTGTATTCCATAGAATGGTGTTCTGTATAATAGGCTACTTATTATCCAGCGCCAAACTTTGGTAAGGGATATCGAAATGGGCTCCATCATTCTGTCCCGGATTTGTTTCCTTAGCATATAATAAAAAAATTCACATAAACTTTAAAGTGAATTCTAAGTATTATATTATATGCACTATATGAATTCTGTGTAGATTGGGTTGATTGATTAATTGATTATGCCACAAACTGTTTAAAGATACATTATATAAGAGCTAAATCTGCCTATTAAAGCTCTTTAATTTGGCTTAAAAACTATTATTTGGACATTTATTCACATGACAAGCCTGTAATCAACTCTCTAGATATTGTATGGTAGAGATTTAAAGGGATTAAAACATGGTTCACCATTTTTAATGGTCTAATTTAAAAATGTCGAAGTGGGGCTAAGACTTGAATAACAAGTACAGTTGTTACAAGGCTAAACAATCTATGCTAAATCTTGTCAGAATCAAGTAATTTGAATTAAATTTTCAATATATTCATTTTGCATTAACTATTTTTGTACTATTATAGCTAGAATGACCAGCTTTTTATCTAAATCTTACATAATGCATCTTCAAGGGTGCAGTATGTTGATGTCTGATGCTTCATGTTTGACCTTTATTGTATTGACGTGTGTAAAAATAACTTTTTTTCATGTACATGTTTTTCAGGATAAATAGGCTACAAGAAAACAGAGATTAAAAATGGATATTGTGTTAGACATCTGCGATCAGTATTTTTTTACACCTTATGTATACCCTGCTGATTGGGTGGAAGATAATCCTCTAAGACAGATTATCTCCCTGTTGGTGATAGGAAATGTTGGTGGATATCTGTTGTATCTTATTGTTGCGTCTCTCAGCTATAAATTTATTTATGATAAACGACTCATGGAACATCCTCAATTCTTAAAGGTAAAAAAAAGAGTGTAGGCTTTAATCGATTTAAATATTCTTTAAGAGCCCTGAGTATGTTGTGGATTGATGTTAGACTTTAAATTAAATATCTTTAAATAGCATACTTTGTAAGCCAGCCCCAAGACTTAAAGGAGCTTAACCCTCTTAGAGTTAGGTTGAAATAAAGTATTGAATTGTGTTAATCTGATGTTTCTATTAGTGATTGGCAAGCTTTATATGATTCAATTTTTATACGCTCATGAAAATGTGGGCATATATAGTCGTTGCCCATGTCTGCCTGTGTAGCTGTATGCTGTTTACATTTTGTTTGTGGACACTCTATATACATGTCACAATTTTTATCTGTTTTTGATATAACTTAAGATTTATATTTATAACCCTATCATCTTGGTTCCTTACGATATTGGCACATATTGGACCATAACTTTCTGCATTGTGGCCCCTGACTATACGGATAAATCATGTTTTTAGCTTGTGGACCCTCTAGAGGTCACAACTTAAATTTGATTTTAATAAAAAGTTAATTAATATCACTGCTACACAAAGTGAATGCGGTTGTCTTCGAATATTGTGAAAATCGGACCCAAACTTCCCGTTAAAATGGCTGCTTTTTTTCACTCAAATAGTGTAAAAGCATGTAATACCAAGGTAGTGGACCCTCTAGTGGTCACAATTTTTAACCGATTTTCATTAAACTTAAAATATTTGTTTATATCCGAAAGATCTTGGTTCCTTTTGATATTGAGACTTGTCGGACTGGATTATGGCCCCTTATAATAGTATGAAAATCAAATTTTTAGCTTGTTCTCTGCCCATCTCTTGCAAAAAGGTGGCGTATCTTGCATGGTAACTACTTCTTGTTTGGAAATATTAAATGAAAGTTGGCATTTATTTACTAGTGTAAGTTTTGCCTTACTGTGTTGACAATGAAATACAAAATGGGTTATCATTGATAGACATAAAAATTTTCAATGAACACAAACTGCCATACCACAAAACAAATCAAAGCATAAAATCTAATGCCTTAAATGCAATCAACAATTTCTTTCTTTTCCCAAATCAAATCTGTCCGGTCATGCATGTTAAGAATTAGTCCTAAAAGTTTCAAAAATTTACATCTAGAATAAATGAAATCGAGAATTTTTATTTTTGACCAAAATCAATGATGTCGAACCATTTGATGCAAATTTATTTTGGTTTCGACTGCATTATGAAAATCTCTCAGATCACCTTCTGACATTTAATTTTACATACATGCCGCATAATGCTGCCATGCATTATCACCAAAAATAGCTAATAACATCGGACTGGTGTCATACATGAGGCAGGGGTATGCTAAATCTTTTTACCATTGTTAATTTTTTTATGCCATTACTAAGTAGCTGAATATTATTTTTTTGTGGGAGAGAATTTCAAATAGAAATATTTTAAAATGTGCAATTAAATGTATATTTCAGAACCAGATAGCATTAGAAATAACCTGTGCTTGTACATCAATACCCTGGATGAGCATACCTACTGTTGCCATGTTCTTCCTGGAAATAAGAGGCTACAGTAAACTCTATGATTGTGTAGATGACTGGAAATTTGGTAAGTTTTGAATTTTGTTATTTCTTGGTTAGATACATGTAGTTTTGAAACTGGGTTCCTACAGTACTAGTCACCTTGAATCACATTATTCCCCAAAATTTTATATACAGAGACAGATATTTCAATGTGTTCATTACTAAGACCTTCACCTACTACTACAACTTGCAAAAAGATAAGTCTGCGCCTGAAAAATGACAATCACTAGAGGGGTTGTACCTGAATTTGATGTGACAAGTTATGTGGCCAGATTTTATTTATAGAGTTGATAAAAGGGAAATCAACTTAATGAAAGTTAATCTTAAAGCAGAACTTTCCATGGAATCCCTCTCTGCAGAGTGTGTTTGGATGCAGGTGTGATGTAGTCCCAGGTGTTTGTATGGATGATAAAAACTAGGTCATGTGAACTTCTCAGAAACAAAGAATGTCATTTATTCTAAACCCATTATAAGTCAAGGGTGTGATCAAATTAGATCATAAGGTCTGTTATCTGTGCGAAGTCAAGTGATTAATCAGTGCAGCGGAGTCTCATCAACACAATACTTTGGTAATTAAAGGTCTAACATGTAGTATTTATCTATGCTATTCATGTGAGAGGGAGAATATTTTCATGTAAATCTCACATAGTTTATCTCTTGCTAAATTGTTGTCACCCCTGTCTGTCGTCTACAACTGCTGGAGAGTAATGTTGTTACCCTATTATTGACTAAAAAAATTTCAACAATTTCTGTTAATTACTGTCACTGCTCTAACTGCTCTTGTGGATGATCTGTAGGCTACAGTTATTATCTAAGTGACATGCAATTAGATTAGAATGCATATAGTGACTTTTACATTACTTCAATTCTGCAGTAGTCAAATCATGTCTGTATTATAGTGTCAATAAAACCTCAAACATGATTTCTGGCAATTTTCAGTATCTTGAATGCTTGGATGACTTGACTGCTGTGGGCATATGCTTTGTATCATTCATTGCCTGGCAACCTATCTTTTTTTACCCAAAGCTCTATTACCTCTTTAAGATAAAATAGATTGTGTATTTATGTATGATTAGTATTAACTGTATATTTTAGGTTGGTATGGTATTATATGGAGTATTGTAACATTTATATTATTTACTGATATGTGTATATACTGGATTCATCGCTGGTTACATCATAAACTAGTCTACAAACATCTACATAAAATTCACCACAAATGGAAAGTAACAACACCCTTCGCCAGCCATGCCTTTCATCCATTGGACGGATTCGTTCAGAGTCTACCCTACCATATATACCCGTTCTTATTTCCTCTACACAAAATTACATATTTGGTGTTATTCATCTTTGTAAATATCTGGTCGGTTTCGATTCATGATGGGGATTATCGTGTACCCACATCTTTTAAACCATATGTGAATGGATCGGCACATCACACAGATCACCATTTATTCTATTCCTTCAACTACGGACAGTTTTTCACCTTGTGGGATAAAATGGGTGGATCATTCCGCGTTCCCAGTGCCTTTCAAGGATCTGGACCACTGGATGAAGTACTAAAAATAAAATCAAAAACATTGGAGCAAAATGGACATGCTAAGTCAAAACATTTTACAAATGGAGTGAAGAAAAGTGATTAGATGATTAGATGCTTATATATTTATATTGTTAAAGATTATATTTTTAAAACTTATTATATATATTTGTTACGGTAACCTACAGTATATTGTATGGAGGGATGTGTGTAAGATCAAAAATTGAGCTGCACAAGCATGCGGTACAAGTCTTGATCATTTCAGCCTAAATTGTCTCCATTTTGACTACAACAATATTAGTCTCAGCTGGACAAAATAGTGTCACATTTGTATACCGTGTCAGAGGTCATCTAGGAATTCATGTATAAGTAATAAAATTGGTTGAGAGGAAAAATGATCTTGACCTTGTGTTTGAATTGTGCAGAATGCAATTTTAACTGGTGGATTGAGACAACATTTCCGATAAGTCATTGCATGAACTCTATACATGAACAACCACAGCCCATAACCATATTGACAAATGTTGCTCACATTATCCAGAACACAGGCCGTTACAAAAAGTCATGAATTTTAATGTTGTGATAGTTGCAAATGCTTTTTAGATTACGGGTGATGATTACTTTAAAATGCACATGTGAAAGCTAGCACTGTAAGTATTGTTCATAAGATATGACATTTTTTGTTATTTGGGGTGATAAACTACATATCAGTCACCAAAAAATTTACCAGTTTTATTTACCAACTATATTCCAAACTTAGCCCAAATGTATGACAATAAAGGGTGCTGATGACAACAAAAGTCGAATTTTCTCAGTTATGCCTGCATGGATTTTCATCAAATTTGGCATGAACAATACTTAATGCAAGTCAAAGAAAGGTAAGAGACACCTTTTGGCTATAGAACGTGGTTTGTCTGGTGTCCATGGAAACACCAAAAAATGATGAGTTTTCTTGGAAATTATATAAGTTCATGCTAAAAAGATATAATCCCTTCCTTAGATCAAAAGGGAGATTTTGTGATTTTCGTTAAATTCTTTGAATACTTCCATAACAAGTTTTAAAATACAACAATTCGAATATAAAATATAGATATTTAGGCCCTACTTAGTGCACTACTCTGCCGCTCTCAGTCATTTTATACATTCAAAAATGGTAGTCTCACTTCGACCATCAAAAAAAAAAAAAAAATCAGTGATGTTCCAGTCATGATAGATGGTAGGCCTGGATAATCGTGTCTTTGAGGGAATTCCTTCCGACGTGCATATATAGATATACGTTAATGATCCATTATGAAACTGTTGCTGGCGCAAGCCATGATTGTCTACTGTGGATCACGTCCAAATTTATTCAAGAACTGATCTAGACTGGGGAAAAGGGGAAAAACTTCTCGTTTGCTATAAATAGTTTTTTTTTCTTTCCGCATGTATTTCTATGATTACGTGAACTGTTATATGTACTCTTGGTTATTTTACACATGGAATAAGTATGCAAAGTCTTAATATGATTGGTGTTGAACAGTTAGTGTGTATCTTAGACTAGTCAACCAACGCCCTTAAAGATTTGACTCTGATCATCACTTGAAGAATGGTTAAATCCTGTGCCAACTACAATATTGTGAAAGTTGGATCTCTTAAGGTTATCAGTCAAAATATGGTTCAATTTGTTAAACCAATGCACCCCCCCCCCCCTTGATTTTGTATGAAATTTGATGGGTCTTTTTTTTTAATCCAATTGTATTCAAGCCAGGACATCTACTGTTGATATTTTGATTTGGTTTTCTCATTAAAATTTAAATATTCAAATTGAGTACACTTTACCTAGGATTAGGCCACAAAAATACAAATGAGTATCACTGGCTTTTAGGACTCAAAACATTTTACCTGTCTCAAAATGTCTAAAGTGTTTCAATGTGAATAATTCAGTAAATTAAATATGATTTAAACTCTTACATGTAGACTTTTAATTAGAATAAACCTGTCTAATATCTTACCTTCCTACATTACTATATTATGTGTATAATAATAGTAAACAGACCTAGTACCTTGCCAAAATTAATCTATTAAACTGTGACAAAAAATCCTACACGTAGCCGTAGCCATATGTACATGTACTTACTCCCATGTTGAATATATCTGATGTAAATTATTATTTTAGGAACCGATATATATATGATACAAATAAGTATTAATTTTTGGATTTTATTTGTAAATTATGATACAGAAATTATTAGAATAGATTTTGTTTCAGGAAGTGCTGTACTAATTAGAGTTATCTCCCTTCCAACCTATTTTGTTGATTGTTTTAAAGAAATTTACGCGATGATATATTTACTGATATATTTACGGTATATGTTGTAAATTAAAGAAAATTCAAGATATCGTTCTGTTATATGTTTTTCTAAAACTCAGCTGATTCTTTATCTTCCTATTATGAATGCTGATACAAATAATTAGGGAGAGAGATGGGTTTTAACGACCACTCAACACACTAGGCCATTTCAAGACTAACAAATGGTACATTTTCATTTTAATAATTAGCTTGCGCAAAAAAGTGTGAGGAGGAGAGAACAGGAGTGTTTGGAGAAAACTTAAGTTAGGAAGGCAACCATACTCCCCATTAGGAGTAGGATTTTGGCCAGAAAACTGTTCAACATCATAGGCCTATACATGTACAGAACAAATAATCCATTTCAATTTAATTTCTGCTTTAAACAAATAATACATGATTAAAACAGAAATAAAATTGAAATGTGTCAGCCTATTGAACACTTCTGATATTTCATTCATGATGGTTGCAAATGTTTCATTTAGACAGCTGATGTAAATGCCCAGATTGGACATGAAATCAATATCATGTATACACTCAGCAGAGATGGGCTCGGATGCCAGGAAATTGCAACATGAACTGTTTCCTGGTCCTGGAAGTTGTAAGCATGAGTAGCCGCAAGCCATTCCTATTCATTTTGGTTGATCTTTTTAGCCCCAGCATGTGTCGTATCGTTTTCTCTTAATGGTTATGTAGGTCGACAAAGGTTCAAGTCATTCACCAACATGTAATATTTTATTTCCCTGAAACCTCTACTTATATATGACTTCATATGTTGGCTGAAAATTTTTTCTGGTTTCCTTCTTGTCTCAGTGACGAAAAAACTAACGTCTGTTGTACACCATTGGCAGCATATTAAAGGAACAATAACACTCTTGCTGGCTTGACAGCTCCAGAAAATAAATAATAGCCTTATTCTAAGTATTAGATGTTTAAGTGTCCTACCTGTTGTGTAAATTATCCATTATATCCTATTTTAGTTGTCCAGAGGGTTCGAAAATATTTTTAAATCCAAGTCACATTTGAAAAGGTTTAGGTTAGGCTTTTCAAATCATTTAGTTGAATTTTTCCAATTTTTTAAATTAAGTGTGTTAAGATGAAATTTGTATCACCAATTAATTGGAATATTTTAAAATAGTACAATTTGTTGACCAGAATAAAGATTGGGACATATTATTCAGTTACAACAAGAGTGGTATTGAGCCTTTAAAGATCCATGACAGTTGAACATCTAAAGTGTCATTGTTCTGGCCATAGGCTACGAGCCAGGGGGCAACTGTCCTAACTTACGGGCAATCTGATGTTTAGGGCAGACGGTAAGTCCCGCTCCTTCACCTCTTGTAGACGACCAACCCCGCTGTCTGTAACCCTAATAATTTTTCCGGTATTTCAGGTTCTGCCCCCCCCCCCCCCCGCCCGCCCAGATTCATTGAGCCCGCACGCCTATGCATCACAGGACCATTTTATGTATAAATAATGATATATGATATTTTTAGATTGATATTGGTTAGACGACACCTAAAACACCATTCACAAAAGGCTTCTGGTTATTAATAAAATTTACAAGTCACGCCATATATTTCACACACCGTTAACTTTATATTACATATTATAATATATTTCTATTGGCATACTTATTCACCAAGCAAGTTACTCAAATATCTGTTACATATGTGACAGCGTTAAGGAGCATACAAGGTCTGACTATTCATTTATTCGTGCAAACCAGTGAGGTGTTACGATGGAAAAAGTTTTTATGTTAATACAACCCTCTTAATGCTAGGTTCCCACTGTCACGCGTTTGCGGCCGTCAACTTTTCTTTTTTTCGGAGTGCGTGTGTGTGTGTGTGTGTGTGTGGGGGGGGGGGGTGTCCTACACGATAAGCTCTGCTCCTTCGCCTCTCGCAGACAACCGGCACCGCCGTCTGTGTAACTGTGTCGTCCGCTTCATAAGCAAAGAGTGAAATTTAATAAAAACATGGTTCAATATCTTACTTTTCTGTACCATTGGTGTTAATGAAGACAAGCAAACGCCATTTGCAACGGAAGTACATTTTGCCGTGATAGCAGCACGAATGCCACACCCTCATCCAAACTATACTAGACGCATTTTCTCGTCATGCCATCTCTTATGCACCATGCTTAAGGGGAAACTTGGCTAGAAAATCCCGATGACCCCCCCCACACTCACACACACACACCCACCGGCTATCAACCGGAATCGAAACCGGGACTACCGGGTTATCGAGACAGGGCTATGGGGAAAAGTCTATGGGACGAAAACCCGGATTCTGTGTATACTATTGGAAGTCGAAATAAGAGAAGGCCGCTAAAAGGGCAAAATGTTCCTCAACGGCCGTATTTCATCACACTGTTACAAACGACTATCTTTTCTAAAACTTTATCAAAAGCTATATTTTATAACATTTTGTCTTCGCCCTCAATATATGACATTTTTGCGGTATTTATTTAATTTTAATGTGATGTCCTGGTGGGGTCTTAGTCGCATTTCTAATAATGTTCGACTCTGAAAATCTTAGTCCTTCAAATGTTTGTAAACTGAAGAATGGGTTGATGACGTCACTAGAATCCTTCGTAAAGATGATATGTTGTAGACCTTGGTTCGGGACAACACGGAAATAACCCGTCGAGGCCAATCGCAGACGATGATAACGGTTTTTATTTTGCTGAACATATTGAGTTAAAGCTTTCCTAGATTTCAGTATTGTCAAATGTCTTCCTCGTCGCACCGCCGGCTCCTTTAAGTTTTTATCGATGAGGGAATAATATGATTGGTTGATGTTTACAGACCATGGAATGTCTTGATTTAAAAGTTTTAACAGGTTATCATCCTTGTTTTTAAATATCCTATTGTTTATCAAATTGGACATTTGTAAAATATCACGGGATAAAGTTTGAACCTTGTTTTCTAATTGACGTAAAGTGTTAGATTTTTCCGTCACATCGTTTTTATAAATGTAGGACACGTTTTTAATAGGATGACGTGTTAGATGTTTCGTTGACGTGATAGAATCTGTCCATTTGCCGCTACTTTCGTCATAATTCTGATGAAACAAATAGTCAAACTGAAAATGAATATAAATAAATGAATTAAAAAAAAAAAAAGATGGTAAAGGCTACTTCAGTGTTGATCGATGATATCAGTGGGCATGTAAAGTCCTAACATCTTGTGCTTATGTTGCAAAGCCGGGTTATCGGTTCTTTCAATGCGTAACTTTTAAAGACTTGCAGTAGAAAGAAACGTAATAGGCGAATAAAGACGGGCGTACATCATGCATTGTGCAACGAGGGAAATATTGCCCTGACATCGACGCTATGGCCTACTCTTATATTGCATTTCAACAGTTAAGGGTTCCTTTAAGTGCACGCCAACGTGTACACAGGACATCGGTTTTACGCCTCTCCCGAACGACTAGACAGCTGCCCTTGTTTACAGGTTACTCTGGTTTTTCGTTCCATCCGAACGATTGTCTAGGCCTTCTGTCCTGCACCAATAACAATACCAACAAGGGGGAAACCACACCCGAGGAACTTTCTCGGCCAACACCGGGAGCGAACCCGAGGCCTCTTGGTTAGTGAACCAGTGTCTTTCCCACTGAACCACCGCGGCTCCCTCTTGCAAGAAGCTGGTAAACGTAAATTATGCATGATATTATTCAAATAATCTAGAAATACAACAGTAAAACAAAAGTAGTATGGTTTCTTTCAATGAAACCATTGTTAATCCCGGCGTTAGTTAGCCTATTTAAACCACTGGTTTGGTGACTCCCCCCCGACAGCCTTCCCAAATATATCTTCTGAAATCCAGTTAGCTGTACTGTGAGGAGTGATAGTGTCGCACACGAGGCAGGGTATGCTAACTATACACCTGATACTACTTCTCATTTGAGGAATTAGTATAGCTACCTAACTTTTACTCTACTGTAGTATTTCTACACATTTTAAAAAATGTTATTAAATAACAACAATTAAAATAATCAGTGGTTGTCTCTATATCGCAATTTTAAATTAGTCCTGTAATATATTATGCGAGAAAATTGTTTGATTCATTTTTCATTCCGAACCCGGCTGTTTAAGGTTTGGAAATTTGACCAACGCTACAAGGATACAGTCTTCGGTAATTTCTGTTCACCCAATGTTGTATGTTCACTGTTGTATATGATTTTCGTTTATGGTTGAATCTACCAGTTTGGTTATACACGAATATTCAAGTTTAAAGTACACGCAAGTTCAACGTCATGGCCACCATATTATGTGTTAGTCAATATTTCTTCTTTTTTTTGTAAGACAGCACTCCGCCTAATTACGTTGGCCGACATTTTTACACATTAGCCTACGAATCATTTATTAGGCAGATAATTGATCTTGAAAACACGAAAGAAAAAGGAGTAAAAGGAGTTGTAGCTTTGTCGAGTTATTTCTTTAATGGACTTCACTAACACATTCTTGACAGTACGATAATGCACCCGATTAGATTTTATTACATACTTCGAGAAGGTATTTGTTGAGTAATAAAACCATCTAGTAGTTTATCGAGGGCTGGCCGTCCTTACCGCACGGTACAAATATTATCACCACTATATAGAAGCAACAAATTCAGAACAAGCAAGAACTCATACCAAAATGGCCGCTTTATACAAATGAGTATTTAGGGGAATACTAACCCGAACCCTAACCCTAACCTTTTTAAGAGAAGTAAAAACTAAATTAGACCCACGTTCAGTCTTTTAAAAAGGGTTAGGGTTAGGGTTAGTTATCCCCAAAATTCTCATTTATATAAAGCGGCCATTTTGGACTCCGGAAGCACCCGAACCTCGATAAACTACTAGAAGGTTTTATTTGTACCGTGCGGTAAGGACGGCCAGCCCTCGATAAACTACTAGAAGGTTTTATTACTCAACAAATACCTTCTCGAAGTATGTAATAAAATCTAATCGGGTGGATAATTCTGTGGTGGCTATTTGAGTTATACGCGGAGGGGAAATTGTGAACCTTCAGCACCTATTATTTTTTCGTGGACCTCCAGTACCTATTATTTTCACGTGGACGTATATTGTAGTCATATAGCTACAAGAGTCGCAGTCCCAATATCAGGTTTGTACGTGACAAGGAATAACTTAATTGGAATATTGTATGAAGATACGGGGAAAAGTTAAATTCGGTCATGGGGCTGGGCGTGGTTGGGGAGCGTGCAGTTTCAGATAATATACGTACACCCTTACCTGAGTCGCCCTGGTACAAGGTGTTTGATGATATTTATAAATACACCTTCCTAGTTCCGTGTCTTCATGGTTGGATACCGTAGAATTCAAACATCCAGGTAACCGACTTGCTATACTGTTTAACATTATTCTGCTTAACACGATACCAGTACCACCCATACAATACGGGGCATTACTATAGAGACCAAGATGACCTAATTCCTTCTGACTTCCATTACCAGGGTGACCCATATAGATCATTTTCTTGCTATTTATGGTCATTAAAAACAAACTCAATCGCTTCCCGTATACAAATATATCGTCATCAACTCTCATAAACCAATGGTAACGGTTGCCATAGTTATGAGATACATACTGCAACATGGCGAATGATTTGTGTCGTGGAGGATATTCGTCATCTGATACGTCATTGAGAACTACAACTGGAAGCGGACCAGTGTAATTACTGTCACCGCCTGTGAAGAAAATGACGTCACCGATGACGCTGTTTGCCCATGTTTTTTGAATTGCTAAAGCACGTGTATCGAGGTGGTGACGAGTAGTAATCACACAGATTAAAAGAAGTTTTAAATCTGGATCTAGTGTATTTATTAAAAGTTTTTCTGTGAGTGGTTTATGTTTCGTAGTAGATGATGAAAGACGGGGAAGACACAAGCTATGATTTCGTGATTTCAGAAAGATTAACGCGTTGGATACCAGAAAACCCGAGATTAAGCCGAGAATAGCAACACATAAATAATCTTTACATATCTTCTTCTTTAACCTTCTTCCCATCCTCACTTTCTTCCTACTGAAACATAAATTATATAGAAAACAATAAAATGAGGTTTAGCGTAGTACTTTCGAATTCTAACTTTTATTTTTATCTCATCTGATGGAGATGCTCCTGAAATGTTGGCACCATTCAATGAATAGATGCGCCACTGATTGAAACCTGAACCACATATTCACTGGGCTACTGGGGCTCCCGAAAAATAATTAATATAGAAAACAAATAAGATCGGTGGTATCACTCCGTCATCTATCACAAGGACCGATTTTATGTATCTAAATGCCCGGATCTACGATGTTAATGCTGTGACCATATTACGCCAAATAACAAACATAATTTTCATAACTTTACTTTTAGTGCCAACGACAATATGGATTGCGACACAAAAATCTCATATATGTCTTGACTTGCAATGGGTGTCTAAAAATCTACATCGGGGAGACGGGCACGCATCTACGGGATAGAGTACGCAACCATCGACGGGATTGCAATATTGAAAATGGACCCTTATTTGTAAATAGACAGATCTTTAGATGCGCACAACACCTACAAGTAAAATTCCAAATTTTCCCGTTTTATAAAATGAAAGCCGATGACATCACGAAAAAGAAATTAATGGAAAACCATTTTATTAAAAAATACGTTTCTCAACTTAATAGTCAATAAGTAACAATTGGCCATTAACTTCATTTATTTTCTTAAATCTATCCTAGGATTATCTTCCACTCATTGTTTCTAAATTGTACCCATCTACAACAGATTAATACACGTATGTACATGTTTTCTATTAGTTACCTATATACTATGTAACCATAGACGATGGTAACTATATCCAATTAAAACCACAGTGTTACTATGTAAATATGTATAAATACACTAAACTGTCCATCTTTATACAATGACATTATTTATGATATAAATAACTGGTCCGGACAGAATGATGCCGTTTACTCATTTTATATACCCATTTTCACTAAATAGGAAATATTGTTTACCTACATATACTTCAAACACCTTTATTTATTTTTCTAATATTTCAAAATGTCATCCCTCTCATTGATGGTACCGGCCTAGCGAATATTCACTGCTGATCAGTGTGAGGCACAACTAACAAAAACATTACAACAAAATTTACTAAATCATCTAGGAGGACTGTTGTTCATATTTATAAGTTTTATAAATTTACATAGTTTTTCCAAAGTGATAATATTTGAGGTATTTTATAAACAACTAGTTAAACTTATAAATACTAGGGGGGGGGGGGGCTGAATGGTTAGCGTGCGCGCGCAGTATCATAAAGTCTGTCATTAGGTCGACTGGCGTGGTTTCGAATCCCCGGTTGTACGTGACAAGGAGTAGGGTCGCCTGTCCAACCTCGTGGGTTTTCTCCGGGTCCCCCGGTTTCCTCCCACTGCTAAAGACCCCTACGCGCAAGCGAATTATTGAAATAAAATTAAACCATATGTTAGTCCCGAAATGACCTAGTTTGCGTCGAGTGGCCGTTAAACCCCATTTCTCTCTCTCTATAAATACTAGGATTTTAACAGCAGAAAAGAGGTAGATATTTCTTTCTTTCAGAACTCAATACATTACATACCATTACATAATGGAATTCGTCACCAATGTCCGAAAGGTCACAAAGCTGGCACGTCCTGTCTTGTCGTGCGCAAGGTCATTATTTTGGAAGTTAGTAAATTTAACACTAAATTAGTAAATTTAGTCATTTCGGGACTAACAATTCATATATCAAAATTGGCTTGCGCGCAGGAAGGTACTAATTCCTGTCATCATACAAATTTAAACCTGGAATTGAGTCCACGAATTGAATATATTAAACCCCTTAAAACTTCATTGTGTCTTTTAGTTTTTACACGCATTTCAAGCCCTTTGTATAAATGGCTTGCACCATTAAATACTATACAGATTCTTCGCTTTATAATATACTTCCTTGTACTCAGGTTATCAAGCTTTTATTATATGGGCTATATAGCTTTAAAGGAGCTAAATCTCTATTGTTTGGCACACAGAAATGATTCAATTTTATTTCAATAATTCACTTGCGCGTAGGGGTCTTTAGCAGTGGGAGGAAACCAGTTGCACGATGATCGACAGTCGATCCCATCCCTTGTCATGTAGAACTGGGGAATCGAAACTACGCCAAATGACCTAGAAATGGACACAAAATGGACAATCTTTGACGTCTGGTTATTCCAGTCTACACCGGTTGTATTCTCCTGTGAGATATGTTTAGCCTCGTTCATCGAGTCGCTCCATTACAAATGGGACTCGAAAGCATTCTGGCACTCGATTCGTGTGCCAATTTTGAAAATTTTGATTTTGTCTTAAATATTGGATATCAGAAGCCCAACTTTTCACTGTAAGATAACAGCATCAATGTTGATTTAAATTGACCAATAAATCCTGTTTGCAATGTTGAAGGCTGTGGATGATATTGAGTTAGAGACTTGCCTCCTTTAAATTGTTACTTCCCGTTTACAAGTTGTATAAGCTATATGGTGTCAAAATTAAAATATCTTACTTTGGGTAAAAAGATATGTGACTGACCTCTCTGATTTGGGTAAAAAATATGTAACTGACCTCTCTGATTTGGGTAAAAAGTACCGACCTCAAGGATTTGGGCAAAGAATTTGACTGGTATCTCTGATTTTGGCAAACATTAAAGGTCGGTCTAATTAAATTTGATGAATTTATTAGTTTGCGAAGTTGGATCTGTGTACATTAAAATTTACGCCCACAGACGAAGCAATTGTTGAGATTTGATGTTCAACAGTCGACAGTTTATTAAGCCAAAAACGGAACTAAGAATAATAAACAAAATTAGTCCTGCTCAATATTACGAAAAGAAAATTGAACCACATAAAACTTGCCCAGTCCCTAATATTAATAACATGCACGTAAAATCAGCCGAATTCAATCGGTCGGAAGCAAAGAGTAAGCATACCCTGTCTGTTGGATTAATCCGTGCAGAAGAGTCCTGTTGGTGGTAGATATTCGTGTGCGACGTATCGTCAGAATCACACACGGCACTCGAATTGTTTTATATACAGCTCTATTGATATTATACAGAGACAAAATAACTTACATGCTATCATTGTAGTTAGATTGATATTTTCTGCTTCACAACATTTCATATAATACACCAGCTGGTTGAAACCATGTACCCGTGACGTAATATGATATAGTCTTGATTATCCAACAGTGAGACTATATGCATGGTAGTCGGATTTATCCGGTATTTTGTGGCGTTAAAGGGAAACAGGTAATTGAGCACCATCCGTTGGATATAATTACATTCAAACACAATCAACTTAAAGATACCATTTAGAGATTACATTCACACACACAACAACTTCCCTCCCCGGAACTCAGTTAATGGCGGAAATCAAAGGTAGTTGAATTACAATACACTTGACAATTTCTGAAAATGACGCAAGTTTGATGCATATTCTTTTAATGGCGTTACACTACGAATTTTGTCTATAAGAAAATTATGTTTTACTAAATGCCAATGCTAAACCATTAGATACATCAAATGGAATTGCATAATTAGAGTTACAAGCCTACTTGTAATTGAATATTTTGTTTTTATTCAGGCATAAGGACCCTTTCAGCCTCTCCCCTTTAAAGGAACAGAACATAATCAAAGTTTAATATTTCAATTTTTACGATTTCCAAATGTCAAGCGATCTTTAGGGTACATTTCTCCAGCCTCACTGACAGGGTAACCCCGTCTCAAATCCCAAGGAAGTTTCTCAGCTAACACCGAGCCAGCGCTGCTCTCCGAGTCACTTTGAAGTCTATGACAATATAAACTTCTAAAGTTGTAGTAAATAAGTGAGTCGCTTTAACGTGTAGGACAAGTTTTGCCATCTTTAAAGACACTATATTATATAGGTTATAAGTGGACATTTGGGTGTGGACAGTGTTGTGATCTAAACATCTCTTATATTGTACTAGATATATAAAAACCTGAACATATGGCTTCCATCAAGAAAACATATTTTATTCATTCAATATGTTTGATATATTATACATATAAACAATGACCTTTTCTACAATAACACAGCATTCACGATGACCTTTTCTCGTCGAATATTCTAAAAATAGGTTGGAATTACAGGTCAGGCGCATGTCATGGAACACATGCATGCAAGAATAACACCCTTTGTAAAATAAAACGTTGCTGACGAATATGTATACCTTATGTAATAAGTAACTATATTTTGAAGAACAAGTATGCGCGTACTACATGGACCAGGAACCGAACACGACGTCATCGCAGCATGATGGGAATGGTCATATCAAAAAGTCCGCGAATCGATACACAGCTGTCGAAAGCGAGAGAGAGAGAGAGAGAGAGAGAGAGAGATGTGGTTTAACGTCCACTCGACACAAACTAGGTCATTTCGGGACTAACATATGGTTCAATTTTATTTCAATAATTCGCTTGCGCGTAGGGGTCTTTAGCAGTGGGGGGAAACCGGAGGACCCGGAGAAAACCCACGGGGTTGGACAGGCGACCCTACTCCTTGTCACGAACAACCGGGGAATCGAAACCCCGCCAGTTGACTCAATGACAGACTGTATGATACAGCACGCACGTGCTAACCATTCGGCCATCCAACACCCTAGCTGTACTAAGGAACAAGCATGCTAAGTTTCTTGCCGATAGTACTTGTATTGAAAGGTCTTTAGACTTGGTTCAAACAGCGTCGCCGTCGAGAAGAACAAGAAGACGATGAGTGCTCGGGGACCAGATCCTGCAGATGCACTCTCAAATATATAAATAAAAAGAATGTGCCCAGTGACACATTGACAATGTTACAGAAAGATTAAGGAAGTTCACAGAAAAATACAAAGGGCATTACGCTAAATATTGTGTGATATTTTATTAATTCTATGGCGATTCTTTGTTATAAACGTTCAGTGATTTTAGAATCCTAAAAAGTTCCCATGTTCGAATTCAGAGAGATATAGAAATTTACTGGTGGCCATAGTGTTGAAATCCAAATTCAAACTACAGTGGACTCTGTCAAATCCGACATCGTACTGGATCGTTACAATATGTCGGATTATGCAGAGTGTCGGAATAGTCGTTTTTCTCAAAACCGGAAGTATTATTGTGACTTCGAAAACCGGAAATATTATTATAATGTAGCTTCGAATCCCCAGAACTTTATTCCGTTTAAAATGATAAACCTTTCTGTACATAATTCGTGGGAAAATTCGTGGGTATTCTTGAGTATTTGTCACAACTGTTTTACAAGAGATTATAAAATTATCAAAGTAATCAACAAAGACCTACGCGAGCGAGTTTTAATCTCATCGATAATTGATTAGTGATTGCTTGTTAATCTTTTGTGGCTTCACACCCACCGATTGAAGGCCGGGTTATACCGTGTTGATTCAATGGAAATCGTGTGACAGGACGGTTGATTGATGTCGTAATTCGGAATATTCTGAGTACGGATTACTCAAATAATAAGTATTTATAAGTAGTGATGGATGTCGTGTAATTTAAGAGACATAGTATGCTACTCATTTGTTGTACTTTTGAATATAAGCAGCTTCCACGGGTGGTCCTCATGGTGTCCGCGTTCAACACCAAAGGATTAGGAATAAACTATAATTATCGTTTAAAATGTAAGCATAAAATTAATCAAAAAAAGTTGATGCCCTGACTTTTTCGTTTCTATTTCCCATGTTTTTCTAATCTCATGACAAACAGTTTATCTTGGAATAAGTCGTTTTCGAATGATATCCACTCACAATCTCAGATAACAACTCGACGCAGTCTATACACAAGACGAGTTAAAGGCGAACTCATAGTTTGTCAGTTACCACTCTCTACTTCAGATGGTAACGGTAACCCATTCCCTTATTCTGGGTCACTTCCGTCCGGAATATGCAAATCGTTGTTACAGAACAACCACAACAAATATTTTCCTGTTCAAATTATATTTAACTATTTCAATCACATATGTAAACTCCGTAGTCTCTGTGGACGTGGGTGTTGCCCTTTATGTAGAAATTGATATTGCTGAATTAAGAATCACATGACATTCAGTCATACACGTGGGGTGTCTATTAATTGTCGTCTGTTTATGGCAATAAAAGGTTACATGAATAATGATATAAATATTTATTCGATGTTGATTTTAGAAACAAAGAATATTGATGGTGCTAATTTCGGGATTGTCGTTAAAGGAGCTGTTCTGAGTTTTACAAGGTAAATAAATGGAAAGGAAATGGGATTTAACGTCCGGCATTCCTGAACCAACCAGATAATTTTCCCAGGCAGCGGCATCTTCGTCGAATTTCAACATTTACGTGTTCAACCGAACGATTAGACGCTGGTCATCACCAAACTCTCTGTCCCACACCACAGACAAGAGGACAATACATTGAGTTAGCTAGCGAATAACTGTTTGCACCTTATTCACGGAGCCGCTTTAGCTCCCCGTAATGTGCAAACCAAACGCCAAAATTTAAATAAATAACATCCTAAACACCTATTCGCGAACACTTTTATTACACTTAAAGGCTTGATGCGTCATTTGCATTTTTCCTAAACCATCAAATTGCCTACACGCTAAATAATATGTACTCAGATCGATATTATAACATTTAATTATGATTATCAAAATATCAACGCCAAATAATCTCTCGACATGGATTCAATCGCATTTAAACTAGGCCCATCAGGTTTCTCCGCTACCAATAAAAGATAACGGCGTCATGTTACGCTCGTTCCGCACAGATCGAAGAAATTTCATTTTATCATAAATTTGTAAATAACAAAAGGAATTGAACCATTTTGGACTGATATTAGTATTTGAGATTAAACTTTCACAAGATTGTAATTTGCGAGGGATTCCTATTCCGCCAATTGACACGTCGACCATTAAGTATAAGGCAACAAATTGAATTAGGGAATCCCTAAAGATTAAATTGTTTCCACAGTATTTAGTAATTGAATTGGGCATACACAGGACACAATTATATGGAATACAATTACTGTTTATTACAGAGTGGCGTTTCGTACTAAAATTCTCGAGTTTTTAACAAATCTACAGCATTATATTTGTTAAAGATGCATTATGTAAAAGCTAAACATCCCCATTGCAGGCCTTTGTTATATGAAATGAAATGAAATGAAATGGGGTTTAACGTCCTACTGGGCTAATGAAGACGGGCATGCGCCATACAGTGTGCTATGAGGGAAATTATGCCCGGGAAGCGGCGCTACGGCCTACTCTTATATCGAATTCCATCTGCCAAGGGATCTTTTACGTGCACGCCAATATGTACACGGGACCTCGGTTTTTCGTCCCATCCGAACGACTAGACAGATCACCTTGTCAGGCCCTCGTCCTGCATCACTGACAAGGGGAAACCACGCCGGAAAATCTGGATGAACTTTCTCTCGGCCAATGCAGGGATCGAACACCCGACCTCCCCTTTGTTATATATAAATTAGTGCTTCATAACGGTGGGAGTATCCTCATTGAAACGTTGCAGTTAATAAACCTATTAAATCTATTCCATAAAGCTGTCTGTTTATTATATATCACTTTCACTAAATGCCTTTCAGAGAAATTATTAATTAGGTATATATATTCACAGGGCAAGCCCATAATCATCTCACTAGATTATCAGGTGGGAGAGAGAGAGGGAGAGAGAGAGAGAGAGAGAGAGAGAAATGGGGTTTAACGCCCACTCGACACAAACTAGGTCATTTCGGGACTAACATATGGTTTAATTTTTATTTCAATAATTCGCTTGCGCGTAGGGGTCTTTAGCAGTGGGAGGAAACCGAAGGTCCGGGAGAAAACCCACGAGTTTGGACAGGCGACCCTACTCCTTGTCACGAACAACCGGGGATTCGAAACCACGCCAGTCGACTCAATGACAGACTTTATGATACAGCGCGCGCACTCTAACCATTCAGCCACCCCCCCCCCCCATTATCATGTGGACGTGATTTTAAATGAATTAAAACACACGAACATAATCAAGACTATATTGTGAACAATTCAAACACTCATAACGTCGCTCAGAATAAAGTAATTTGAAT